GGGGTGAGGAGACACATGGGTTTGTGTGTGTGAGTGTGAGAAGGCACAGGGTGTGTGTACATGCATTTATTTGTGTGTGTATGAAGAGGCAAAGAAGTGTGTGTTTCTGTGTTTGTGTATGTGTGTCTGCGCAAGTTCCAGGAGGCACACTGGTGTGTGTATATGTGTATGAGTAGGCACAGGGGAGTGTCCATGTATATATGTTTGTGTATGAAGAGGCACAGTACTGCAAGTATGTGAGTGTGTGTGCATGTGTGCACAAGATGCAGGACTGGGGTGTGTCTTTGCATGTGTGTGTGAGGGAGGAGGCACTGGGCTGTGTGCACAGTTACTCAAGGAGGCTGTGTGGGTATGTGGTTGTGAGAAGGCACAGTTGAGTGTGTGTGTAAGTGTGTGAGGATGCACATGGTTGTCCATGTGTGTGTGAGGATGCACATGGTTGTGTCTGTATGAGTGTGAGCAGGGACAGGGAGCGTGTGCATGCATTATATGGCTGTGTAAGAAGAGGCACAGAGGTGTGTGTGTCTGTTTGAGGTGGCACATAGTTATGTGTGTGTGAGGAGGCACATGGGGTGTGTGAGTGTTAAAAGGCACAGGGGGAGTGTACTTGCGTGCATGTGTGTTTGTATGAAGAGTGGTGTGTGCAGATGTGTGTGTGTGTGTGAGAGAGAGAGGAGGAAAACAGGTGTGTCGTGTGTGTGTTTGGGACTAGGCACCGGCTTTTTCATGTGTATGTGAGGAGGAACAGGGTATATGTGTATATGTGTGTGTGTGTTTGTGTGAGAAGAGGAACATGGAGGGGTGAGGAGACACATGGGTTTGTGTGTGTGAGTGTGAGAAGGCACAGGGTGTGTGTACATGCATTTATTTGTGTGTGTATGAAGAGGCAAAGAAGTGTGTGTTTCTGTGTTTGTGTATGTGTGTCTGCGCAAGTTCCAGGAGGCACACTGGTGTGTGTATATGTGTATGAGTAGGCACAGGGGAGTGTCCATGTATATATGTTTGTGTATGAAGAGGCACAGTACTGCAAGTATGTGAGTGTGTGTGCATGTGTGCACAAGATGCAGGACTGGGGTGTGTCTTTGCATTTGTGTGTGAGGGAGGAGGCACTGGGCTGTGTGC